TACCTCAGAGATAAGGCAAATGTACTAGAGCAGATTCACACGCCAGTCTGAAAGCCTCTGAGTGGATGGTTGAAAAGCCCAGGTAGCAATGTGCTCACAATTCAGATTTTGCTTAACTACTTCAGTACAAGAAAAGTTAGCAGAATATAAAAAATTAATTTTGATGAAGTTCTGTATAAGCTTTCTGCAATTACTAAATAAAGCGCCTCTACAGCTTCTGCCTGACAACTGAACCAAGGTTATTATCAATTTGCTCTTTATATAAGAAAGCGATTTTCATGTACTTACATCTGCTCTCAGAAGGAAGAGAAAATGGTTTGTGAAGTTCCCATTAGCATACAAAAGCAGCAACATCTGCTGGGAGTTTTAAGAGGCTTATTGCTGTCACTTAATCAGCACCACAGGCTACAGTTGGCCACCTCTGCCCTTGTCAGCACTCCAGGTATGGTTTCAAGAGATGAGGGGATAATATGACCACACAACAGTTCCTGCAAGACTTCTGTATCTATAAAAAAACCTGTTCTGCTCGCTCTTAGCTGAGGATAGGTAATCCACCTATGCTGATTCCTCCTTGCATAAACCTGTAAAAAGTATCATAGCTGAAGTCATTAATCCTTTCATACGATGCGTGACTTAAGTGAAGTGGCATTTTAACAAGCGAGATACAAAACGTAACGGTGAGTTCACTTCAATGTGCTGTAGCTGTAGCACCATCTAGAGGATTTGAGCTAGAAATTCCTCACACAATGGGCAAAAAAAACTGGGAAACTGCTCTCAAAAGTTGTGAAAAAAATCTTTACACAAAAAAATATTTTGAGCGAATTTTCATTCTAACATTTATCTACAGGGTAACTTAAATTGATTCATACATGCCTACATGACACACAGTTTTTCTTAAATACTTTCTCAGTTTATGATATTTGGATTCATGGAGGTAACAAGATTAAAACAAATAAAACTTCGACAGTCAGATTGGGAAAGACCTTCATCTCATCCACTCTAGGTCACATGCTTGCTACAAGACCTTTTTCACGTGGAGAAAGGCAGAACCTTCCTTAGAGTTTTGTTCATAACCTTGCAAGGATGGCTAACTTAATTCTGTTTTCCTTAATTTTCACCATTTTAAAGGAGGTCTCTTAATAAAACCAAAGCCAAATTTCAATCAGGGAAAGGGAAGAGGTTTTTATTTGAACAATAGCAATTATGTATTTTATTATATTTAACACATAGACAGAGGTGCTGACAACAACCAATTGCTCACTGCAGAACTACTAAAAGAGGAAGAGATGGACAGGTACAGCTCTGGAGCCCTACTGATTATTCTTTCCATCCACAGACACCCCAAACCTCACTTTGACTACTTTCAGCTTGGCACACTCCCCCCCATAACTTAACTCTGCTACTGCCACAAAATAACACTTTTGCTCCTGAAGCCTTCTGGGGATAGCAAAGTTCAATCCTTTGTTACTTCTACGAAACTCTGAGCCAGCTCCTCAGAGACTGAAAGACCAAGAATTAATTGAGAATATTCACATGTGCTTGCTCCACAGAGTTTGTGGGCAATAAATCCAAGCTGTAGCTCCTGTTCATTGGTTGATGTGTGACTGACCAGCAGCATGATTTGTAGTGACACATCTGCATTAAAAATTCAAGCTTCTGTACACCTGAACACAATTTGTATTTCTCTCTCTCTCAGTATTGTGTCAAAATAATCATGTAATACCAAATAATCAGTCATTTATTTTAGATATTTGCAAGAGCTGTGTGCTAAGAATGGGCTCTAAGCTTTTAGCTACTATGCCACATTATCTGCTTCTACCAAATTTCCTTGGAGACTATTTGAAATAAAAGCATAGAGGAAAAAACTGAAAGAACCAACTGTATGGTCAACAGCATCACTATTGGTCATGGATGAGTTCATTCCACTTTATAGGCCAACAAACTTCTGGAGATACCCTACAGCATGGGCAAGGGAGCTATTGTAATAGCTGGCAGACCTTTACAGTTACTTGTAATCAAGATTACTGGTTATAAAAAGCAAAGTTCTTCCTGAATTGAATTGATTTTTGCTATTTCATAATGGCTGGCAGCAAATCAAGATTGTTTACAGCACTTCAGTGTAGCTCAAGTCCCTCACTGCGCTTCACTCCCTCCCTCCGTCTTCCTGGGTCTCCAGGTTCAAGCAGCAAGGAAGCAATGAAAATTTCATTACCAGAAAAATCCTCTTCCTAGTTTCCACATGGAGAATTACATCTTCTGTCATAGCTGGGGGGGGGGGGGGAAATAGTTTTAAGGATTTTCCATCTTTCAGTTATTTTTTTTCCTCAATCTTAACTATAAATGCAGAAATTAGTTCAAAGACCAGGGTACAAGTGCAAGCACCTGAAGTTTAAGCTTCTCATTTGCTACTTTTACCAGCAAATATTTAAATTTATTCGCGCAGATAAGCGTTTGCAAGATTTCAGTCCTAGATTATGAGGAGTTTCTGGTTCTCAAGCAGTACCATTCTGTTCCTAATACTGCATTCACTACTGTATATCAAAAGAATAATTATGTTGCTTGGAATCTGAATTCTCAGTTAAATTTCACGTAACCAAGAAAATATTTTTGTTTGTTGTTATGTGTCTAAGTCTGAGACAAAGCCTATCTGAGTGTCTATAAAAATCTGCTCAGTCTTTCACGCTGAGCATAAATAATGCTTCCAAGAATAATCCTGCATCATGCTAGCTGTCATTTTGGCTCCAGTTCAGTATTTTTTGCAAAGCTGAGCTGATATTTTTATTGGTTTTAAAAAGGCACGTAGGCTTCTTGCATCCATGAAGGAAAATAGTGGTCTTGAAAGAAGCCTTGAAAATTAAAAAATAGGAACAGGGAAGCAGAGTAAGTGGAAAAACTCCTCCTTCTCATTTTTCTAAATCCCTGGAATTGCCAGTCCAGTTACTGAGGGCAGGATCACCACTATTCCTTACAATATGTTATCCTACAGTGTGCTGACTTTAATTGGACTGTAATAGCAAGGATCACTCCTGTGACCAACACCGACAGTAGGACCAGGTTTATATTGTATCATCTATAAGTTTTCATTTAAGAGCATCTACTGACTGTATTAAAACAAAATTACCCAGCAGATGTTCCAGTCAGATTCAATAATCACGCACCAGTGCTTCCAATTGCTCAAAAAAAAAAAAAAGAAAAGAAAAAATATCTGTAAGGATACCTCATTTCCAAAAATTCAGAACACCATACTTCTTACTGTAACAAAACTGCACAGGCATATCAATGCAAATTTCACTGCTGGCTAAACTGTTCCCAGGTGAAACAATTCACACAGCTGATGCAGTCACTTGTACAGACCAGTATCTGCTACAGGTATAGCATTCTTGATTGCCTTCCATAGCATGTCATAGGATGTTGGGCTAACTCCTAAAATAGTAGCTTTTGAAACAAATATACTAGTATTACTGATAATTTCTTCCTTCCCTCATAAGCCAGATTTTCAATTCAGTTATACACTTAACTGAACACATAGCAACTTCAACACTTCTGATTTATGGTGGCCCCTGCCACTCTGAAACTTAATAAATGCCTAGAATAATATTGTTGCAATAGATAGGGCAATCCCACGCACTGAAGTTATTTTCTCTCCAACATAGGGATGTTAAATTATGTGCTGATATATTGTTGCAAGTTTCAAATGCAATTGGGTCCTTAAAGAGCTGCAGATTAATAACTAGCTTGTTAATTTGTTCTTAAGGCCCCTCTGCTTAAAAAAAGGGGGGGCTGCTGATTTTCCAAAACACCAAACTTTGTAAACTTGCCAACTCTTCAGAGCAGAGCAGCTAAAAGTCACTCTAATGACAAGACCCCAGGAAGCTTCATAAACAAGACAGAAGACTCAGTGAGACTAGTATCCTCCCCTTAAAAAGACATGTAAGAGTCTTTTGAACATGTCAGTATTATTTACTGTGTGCCTGGGGGAAGATGGCTCTTCAGAGGTCTTGCACATGAAGTTTGTTCCCCTACTATTTTGGTAAAGGAAAATGTAAACACGTGGGTAGCTTATCTACACTACAGCATTGTAGAAGTGGCCTACGTGAATTTGAAAAGTGTAGTAAGCTATCGCAGGACAATGAAGATGATTTATCTATCTACTCACAGTGATCATAGCACAGCTAGAACTGGAAAGCTTCTACTAGTGAAAAACAAGCTCTGCACACCCACACAATATGTAACACTCGTAGAAAAACAGCGAGCAGACAAGGCAACACTTACACATAGGGAAAAGAAAAAATACTTATTTCTAACAACAGTAGCTAAACTAGCATCTTTGGGATTTGGTCAGTATCAGCTTTAAAATAAACTAACAAAAAAAACCCTCTACTACAACAATTAAGGCAACTTGCGTTCATTTCACCTGACCTACCAGCCAGAGTCCATCAACAGAGCTCAGCCACAAGACTGCCCAAAGAAGAAGTTATACTAGTGCCCGTAGGCCCCTTGAAAGCACTAATAAGCCCTCACTGCCCTGACTAGCCCCACCTGGGGCCTGCCCTCACGTCCTCTGGGCTCCATGTAAGCCCAGGCCAGGACGCTTGCTGCCCCCCAGGCTACGCTACAGGTGCCCTTGCCCTCGGCCCTCTCAGGGTGTCTCTCCTAGCTGCCCCTCGGGTGAGTTGTGGGTCCCTGTACAGACCTCGGACCTACACTGTAGCTGCCGGCCCCGGGTCACCGGGCGCGGCCCGCAGTGGGGCGGAGGCGGCACCGTCTCCTCAGGGGCCGAGCTC